CACTCCGAGGTTGGCAGAACTTCAGCGGTTCTCATTCGCTCACGCGATCATTGGCGGCGAGGCACGTAGCTCTGATGACCCCGGGGGGGGGGGGGGGAATGCGTGGGCTGAACCAAATACCTCGCCCGTACAAAGTCATGCCAATCCATCGGTACGACCGGAGTTTTGCGAACTTGGGTGGTGTTGCTACCAATTTCTGCTCTTGCCCTATTGACTCGAACTAGCGGTATGGCACCGCGTGCACGGCGAGCTAAGGACTTGCTCGATTGCTTTGGCGACACACGAACCGCATTCCGCAAAATTGGGATGGGTCTTATAATCCGGTAGCTCTGGGTGTGTGGGGGGGCGGTAGTGTGGCAGTCAGCACGCGCTACGAACCCGGCGGCCCGGGTTCGATTCGATTCCCACTCACGGATACCAACACCGGCGACGATTATCTGCACCGGATCCTGGGCCTCCCCTAGGTCGACTCAGCCTCAAATGACTACCTGGTGGTGCGATGCGTTAACATCGCCACTGGGGGAGACAAAGGCGGCCGGGCGTGGTGCTGGCCACCCACCCCCTCGTGTGCCGTTGCGGCCTTCATAGGTGCTCACGAACAGAACTTGCCCCAACGGTCTGTTAAGGCTATACGGGGGATCTTTGTCTATATTTGTCTACCTTTATTGACACGGGGCACACATTTGGGGCGCGCGCCTCTGATTTTCCGAAGCGTTTTTTTCTAATGCGTTAGTAGCTCGTATGCTCCGGGTTTCAAGAATCTTTCAAAACATACATCTTGAGAGTAGCGGGGTCTACCCAAATTCATGGGCTAATCAATTAGTGTCGTTTATTTAAGGAATACCAAGTCCATGGGGGACCCCCCCTCCCCCACGCCTTCAAACTAAACCAAGAAGTATTACATCTGGCATTGTGACGTCGAAGCGCGACCCCCCCCTTCCCCCCCCCAAAGCGCGGGGCCCAGGACGACCACCCCAATTCGCCGTGTAGAACGGGCCCTGCCAGGACAATCCAAATACAAAATCCCGGTTATATTCGCCCTCCTGGCGTGGCAACTCAGACACTGGGGTTACCGTCCCTTGCACCGTTGCGCCTCTGTTCTCCCTGCACTGTGAACGGGTGCACCACAGTCGGTTGGCAGGCTGGTCACGTGCGGTGGGGTAAATTGTGGGCAACTCTCACCGATTCCAAGACGTCTGGACCAGCGTGGCAGAGTTGGCCAGCCACCCTCGACAGGTGACTCGTCTTGAGAGCTCCTTGGCGAGGCAGCTCTTCCGCCAGCAGTGGCTTGAGCAAGTGATTGCAAGGCTGCACGTTTTGCTTTTTAAATTACAGCTCACGATCAACCCCACCGGGCAGTGTTATTCTTCGTTGCAAGGCCCCTGGTGGCCTTTAGTGCGGCCCCTGGCAATACACAAAGAGTGAAAACGACCCCCATCGACTGCTTAACACGTAGGAGTAGTAGCAGGCTTTCGCGACCAATATTATCCATAATAGAGGTTTGTTGGGTTAGATCGCGTAAATATAAATGTGTCGTTAAACCCCGCCACCACCCGACACAGACAATTAGCAAGGTCAGTCACGTAAACAGAACGTGCCAATTCGTTGCTAGACCAGCACACCGGTGTGTTGGAGGGCAAAATCCACAAACATTTACAATTCATCAGGCGGGCAGCAATCGTGCTGCTGTCAAACTCCAATGGTGTCAAATGTCTAGCGGCCCTCAAACTGATGATGTCTTATTGGCGAAAGTGCCACCCCCCTTTGAAAATTAGAGTGAAGAACACTGACCTCTCGCGTGACCTTGACTCAAGGCCTTGGGGAGGGGGGGACATACAGGATCTCAGCGGGAGGCACAGCGCTCAGGAGTCAACGTTAAACTGACGGGAAACAATGCAACACGCTGGACAAGCAGAAAGAGGAACGATGTGGTGACGACCATTTGATTTCGTCTGTCACCCACTCGGCTGCAGCAGCTCTCGTTCCCCCCGAATGTGCAAATTATGATGCACTTGAATCTTGATTTGAAGCTTTCGTGACTGCAGGAATCCATACTCTTTGGTTCTTTCGGTAAAGTTACGTAAGTATATATATTTAAAAAAATTATGATGCACAGTATATGTATGCTGCATCGGCCCCCTCCCCTCCCCGACTTGCCTACTCACGATTATTATACAGGGGGGGGGGGGGTATATTCTCACTGGATATGTTCTAAGTACTCTACAAGATGGTCCAGATGTCTTGTGATTCCCCCCCCCCCCCCCCAATTAATTTAACCCTTAACATTAGTTTCCTTTCCGTATTTACTTGTGTTTTAAATGAACTTTGAAAAAATAGTTTTAGGGAATGAAATGGCGGGGTTCACAAGACATCTGGACCACCCTGTCCTGTCGGCTGGTGTCGGCAGGCGGCAAGTGGCCAGGGCGTTACAGCTCGAGGTATATACTCGACGTTGATGTTTCGGGTGAGGAAATTCCTTCTGGGTCGCCGGAGGGCACAGATCGGGCTGAAACAAAGCACTGCGTAGGCACATCAACGTCTGTGACTAGAATCGTTTTTTTTTGTCAGAATGGACGAATGGATTTTTGTCGTTATATTTTGCGAATTGTCAGCCGATGAATAAATATTTCGGAACCCGCCCGATCTCGTCAGAAGCTAAGCAGCGTTGAGCCTGGTCAGCACTTGGATGAGTTTACCACCACGACTAGTCAGGCGTTTGAGGTTGGCCAGGGAATGGCATTGCTCAGTGCAACCTCCTCGCATGCGTGATGGAGTGCCCGGAGAAACCCACCCACACGCACGAGGGCATAACACCCAAATCACTCCCACAGATTACATTTATTCAACAATTCTGTACTGCCTTCCCACGGCCACCTCGCAGACCAGATAAACACATTATGAAACCCAGGATACAACAATTATTTGTTGGCCTTCATCCAGCAGTGGATAGACAATGTCTGATGATTATGTTGATGACGAACATGTATTTAAATGCACTCAATGTATGCAACGTGCCTATGTGCGTGCATATACCGTCAAGTAGTCTAGTTAATTACACACATTTATATATTCCCTGCTGTGAACGTGCTGCACAGGCATTCATAATTGGCACTAATTTGGTGGGGGGGAGTTGTAATTGTTTCTTTTTAAGAATGTTAGGACATTGTTAAAGAACGTAATACGATAAAAGTTTGTAAAGTTGGGCTGTTGTTGAGTCACACACAACAGGTTTGGTTAAACACGTTACAAAACGTGACGTGTTTAATAACAAGCGTAGTTATAACCCGAGAAGAACCCGGGTCGTGTTGATGTAATACAGAGTAAGAGAGGGAGGTGGGAGAGCAGGGTTTTTTTTACTATTTTGGAAAACCGAACCTTGATCCTGAAAAGTAACTCCAATGTGCCAAAAGAAAAGAAACCGCTTTCACTCAGTGGGCAGTACCTGTTACGCCTCCTTAATGGATGATGAGCACCGGCATTGAGACCGAGAACATCGGACCAAGTCGACCAGTGCACAAATGAGAGACATCCTAAAATTACGATAGGTTTTGCCCTTTCTGGCAATAAAACAGTTGTGTTAGGATGTTAAACCACCAAACAGAATCCCTTTTTCAAGGAATCCTGTCTGCATTAACCACACGTACTTGTGGTGAACATGCAAACAAACAAAAAACATGCTAATGATAAGAAATGCATTGTCTTTGAAACTGATTGGACCACACTAGAGACAGCTTTCTGTGGGCTTGTCACTGGGAAGGAGAGACGCAGTGCCGAATTGTTCTCGTAGCAAAAGTAGCTACATATGTAGTGGCTACTATATATGTAGTAGCTACGGGCCCCGCACTTTCAAGGGCCCCGCGCTAAATGCTTTCAAGCTATCAATTCCAGTTCAGTGATTCTGCACTTGCTCTATTACTATAGCACTATGCTGCCTTCAACTTTAATGAACGACTGTGTGTTTAAGGTTAGCGATTTGTCGTATTATCTGGCTGTATAGTATATTAAAAAATGATACAATTATTTTACTATGCAAGTACAAATTTGTGCTTTAATATGTATGTGTTTATTTATTTATTTAATGACCCTTTATAACATCATGCTACAGGCCCCGCACTTTCTTAATCCGGAACTGGAGAGGCGATCGGGCTTTGCTAGAAGTCGACGGTGGCCGATTGTCATCACCGACGGTGGCCGATTGTCATCACCGACGATGGAACGGCAGCCAGGGAGAGGGAAGCCCACCCGGGAGATGTAGCGATGAGATCAGGGTGTGCTCAAGATGGATGTTGTGGCGTCGCACGAACTTTTAGAGATGGCCACGATTGGGGGGGGGGGAGGCCTCTATCCAGCAGTGGATAGATCATAGCCTATGATCATGAATTGCTTGGACTGGAAAATTGTTCCTTGCTACGGTATTGCTAAATTGTCATTGTTGCCAAGAGTGACGTTCACTTCTGTGTGTAGGCGCGCTCCAATCCTGAATTCACTGCGGTGTGCGTTGGAAGAAGCACGTGCTGACAATGTATCGGCGCACGTGCATCCATTTCCCACCGCCGGCAATCGTGCGCACTCAGCAGTCTGGGCTGCGTAGTGAAACATCTCCCCACCTCTAAACACGCACAGCCACTGACGGAGGGAGCGGTACACGCTGTGACGTGTGGGGGATGATGCCAAATAGTTCATGGAACTGCAGACAGCCACCGCTACAAAGAAAAGGCAAGCATCCCGAGTGTTGGGACACGTGCTGTTCGCGAGCACCTATGAAGCCCGACACGGCACACGAGGTGACGGTGTGGCCGGGTACCACGCTCGTGCCGCCTTTGTCTCCCCGGTGCTGCTGTTTACACGCCAGGTTCTCGTTTGAGGCTGCTTTGACCTAGGAGAGGCCCAGGACTGCTTCGGACAATATTTAGCAGCGGCCGGGGATCGAACTCTGGTGACCCGGGTCCGTAGCGCGGAGCGCTGAAAGCTGCGCGACCGCTCCACCCCTTGTCACTATAACCACCACATCACCACGAGCGCGCCTCCCCTCGCACTCTCCTCCCTCTCCCCTCCCACTCTTTCCCGTGGTTTCAACGCGCGCTCCACGGGAGTAGTGAAGCAGATGAAGCTGGCGCTGGACTTTCAGAACACTTCGTTCATTCCTCGCCGCCGCCGCTGCTGGGTTAAGCTCGTGTATTTTTATCCTGCGTGAGTTACATCAGAGTGGAAGCGGACCCGTGGATGTACGAACGGCACTGGCGTTTGTCGGTTTACGGAGAGGTATTTGTGGTAGTCGTAGAGTGCGCCGTGCGAGCGACCGCATCGGTTTTACGCACAGCATCTGTCCGTCGTGATGCCTCCCCTGCCTTCCTCCGCGCTCTCAAAGGTAACCATAGAACGACATCATTATTATTGCATCGGTGTCCAATGTTCGTGTCACACGTGCATACACTGGGCTGGGATGCTGCCGTGATTGCCGTGGTTTGGAGACGGGACATTTTACAATCCAGAGGTCCCCGGTTCGATCTTCCGGCGCGGCAGTTACAACCGCAGCTACAATTCTGAAGTCTCGCGTGTTCGTCCACAGCAGTCTCAATGGGTACAATACAGTTGGCGGGTCGCGCCGTGGTGGGATAAAGAGTGGGTAGTAGACGTCTAGCTAGCGTGGAAGAGTAGGCCAATTACTTATGCCGGTTGGAGCGGTGGAACAATAATAATTAGTACGCTGCGCAGTGAACCTGACCACCCAAATTCGATTCCCATCCACGGCTAACATCTGTGGCAGGTGGCTGCCCCCCCCCCCCCCCCCCCCCAACCGGCTCACTGACAAGCGCGATGATTTGAGCATGGCAGCAGTCAAAATGTGTTCATAATTGAACATGCGTGTGCTCGCTGCCGTCCGCGCCGAGTGTTGGGTTCGTTAAGACGGCACGTGCGAGGCGGAATGCGGCACACGGCTCCGTGATGAGTTGCGTTGCGTGCCTGCTATTGTTATATAACAACGCATTGAAGCGAGCCCCTTGCGCCCATGTGCGCGGCCAATCGTTAAACAATGCGCGCGCGCCAAGGGTGCACTGCTGCTCAGTCTTAAACCCGGTGGTCGCCGTGTGCCCACGATCCCCGACGGTCACGCGGGTCGCTGCAGATGATTATAAGAGACCGCTAAAGACACACTGCATTATTCATTATCTCTCACCCCCCATTCCTGCCCCACCCCTTCGTCTCCGGCAGTGAGTGGGACTCGGCGTGCGGATTGCACTGCCTCGCCTGAGCGGTCGGCAACGAGCAACGCAGAGAGATCGCGACGGGGGGAGGCCGAGGAGGCTCGCGGACGCCGCCTTGACGGACGATGACGGTGGCAGAGAGGAGGCGAAGTGCAGCCACCGCATCCACTTCCCGCTCGTTGGCCCATTGATGCTGTCGCTGGCTATGTGGTGCGCCGTGGCGGAGTCCTTTTGAAAGGCAGTATCTGTTGATGTATCGCACGCTTTTATACGCCGACCGCTTTGAAGTGTGTTCATAAATAGCGCATGACAAAAAAAAAAATCCCACCCCCCTTCCCCCGCTGCCCACCCCATGAAGATAGAACACAGTAGTGTCAACGTTAAGAATACCGACTCGAGAGAGCAGAGTGGTATTTGATGGCGCAAAGCGAGTGCAGCTGCTTGGCCACTCCACCAGTGCCCCTGTCGTCGATGATCGCGACTTTGTGATCTCGTGGAAGACGCGACGGAAGAAGGGGAGCGACGCGGTGGTGGTGGTGGCATGCAGAGCGGACATGTGACTGCTGCTGTGGCTGGGGATCGTGCGATGCTCTGACGATGCGGGCTGCCACCCGCTGTGCCGCACGCGTGCAACAACAGTGACGACGACGAGGGGCACCACCGCTCTCACCGAATCGAGAGAGCCGCGGTGAAGGTGTTGAAGTGACACTGCCCACGACGCGCGAGCACGCGATGGGACGCAGTGTCCGCGATGACTCCTCGAGGCAATTTGCTTCTCGAAGATCCTCGTACTAAATGCGCTACAAGTGGAACCCAATTCTTGACACCCCCTTCCTCCCGCTCTTCCCCCTTCCCAAACCCACACGCACACGAGAGCTAGAGTCAACGGTTGCTGCTATGCACGGCACGCGGGTGTAGAATGGTAGCAGAAGCAGCGGTAGTAGCGGCAGTAGCAGCAGCAGGAACCTCCCCACCTTCAGCATGGACAGCGAAGCGAACAGCAGCGAAGGGCGCAACGGCCGAAAGGTTTCCACTGCCTCGAGCCATTCCAGCGAGGGCGGATCTCCCGATCGAGTTGAGGGCGGCGGCTGGGCAGGAGGAGGTGGAGGTGGTGGTTTTGGAGGCGGCTGTCCGTTCAGCCGCTTTGGGAGGCTGCAGGCCGGTCCACCTGTGGCTCCCGGGGCCACGTCTCCCGGACCCCGCTCCGCCGCGCGCAGGCCAGTCAATTTGGACGTGCTGGGAGAATGCATTCGCAAGATGGTGTGTCCCACGGTGAGTGGGGTCCCCTCCGAGACCCCCCCCCCCCATCACACCCCCCCCCCCTCGGATGCGAGCGATTGAGCGCAGAGTGCAGGAATGCGTACAGGAGGTGTATGCGTGTTGAACTTCGTTTGTACCGTACGTAGCCAACCGTGCTAATCGGAGGTGCGGGGTGGGGAGGGACAACAAACCAAACACACAAATCGGCTCTAAGTGAATGAGTTCTAATCCTCGATCATTTAAACGAGCATCGCTCCACTGGCTTCCTGCGATGGCGATGAGATACGTGAATGAGTGTGAAGCGCGCGCAAGCGTTGTCAGCCACTTTGTTTTACAATCATACGAAATGTAGTCGACTCAAAGCTAAAGAATGATTGTTGTAAAGCTCACCGATACGGTGTCATTTGTTGGTAGTGTGGCAAAATAACTCCCACGACCAGCGCGGCGTGGGAAGGTCCTCATCCAGCAGTGGATTGATAAAGGGCTGTTTGAATTGCAAAAAAAAAACGATTCCAAACACTTCCGTTGATTTTAGTTGTAATGTAAAACAGCGTAATGTATCTCCTGAGCGCGTCTCGCGTGCGAATGGAGTGTCTGTACCATCTAGTGAAGTGTCTGCTTGGAGAGATCTTCGTTCGTAGACCGATATCCAACACACTTCGATCGCGAGCTTGTCCATGTTGGAGAGTAAAAATCTGAACAGGTTACGGGGATCCCAGTCCGCCTCCACCCTCCCCCCATGCCCTGCCCCTCACTTACCAATGTGGTGAAGTATATTCCAAACTGCTCGAGCAGTGGATTGACAATCGGACTTTAACAATAGGTGTCAGCTGGGTGATGAGTGTTACACTGCTGTGCGCACGTGTTCGCGGTTGCGCTTGCAAAGCTTCTGCCGATGTGTTTTCTGTCGGTACGTATGTTGAACTTCTTTCGCACCGTGCGAAAGCCGACCGTGCTAATCGGTTGATCTACCGTTCGAATCTATCGGCATGTGGAGCAAAACGTCGGACATTCATGGTTAACACAAGCACGCGGTAATCCATAATAATATCGTGCTAATTATGACTCGGCACTGCAGGCACGCGTGCGGAGCGATGTTGCCGTGATTGCACAGCGCGAGAGAGAGCGAGCGAGCAGCAGCACCAGACCCTCGCAGACAGCTTGCACTGTTGACGGCAGGGCATTCAACAACGTTTTCCTAAATTTAGACGCGAGCAATTGGGTGTTTCTGCTTTGTTCCTTGAACGTGCGGCGCATCTGTGCAGAGCAAATTATGTCCCTCTCTCCGTCTCCCTGTGGCCATTCCGTGTGCTATTAATCACAAATATGGGGTTTATATGATGATGATTTTTTTTCTTCTCTTTGTTTATAACTTCTCATCCACGCGTGCACAACAAAGCAATAGGTGGACCGAAGGTGATAACGTGGGGTTTTTATTTATTTACTGTCACCGTGATGAAAGGAATATCTCGACGTTTCGGCTGACTGCCGTCTTCATGAAATACTGAGATTTACACAGATAGTCTTGAATATACTAGAGGGCGTAGGTGTGTGTGCTCGTGTGATGTAAGATGATGGAATTTGGTGAATTGAGCCTGGACAAATGACCGTCTCACCACATCTCAAAATAAAGATCAGTCCACCAGCCAGCCTATCAGCCTACCGGACGAATGTTTAAGAAATTGATTTATTTAAACAGGCAAATTCCGCACCGGTATTCGACATTATGGGTTTTAACAAATGCTACTATCATGTATTATATGATAGCTAATACTATTATTGTTTACAGCCCCTTGATCATGCCGCTGCTGGATACATTCCTCGGTCATGGAGGCGGTCCATTCGACCATATTCCACCACCTTGGTCAATACGGGTTGGTGACAAGCACTCGCCACCGATGTTAGCTGCAATCAGGAATTGAGCTCGGGTCACCGGGGCGGTTGACATATCCCGATGTGCCGACCATTGCACAACCGCTGTACACTCATGTACCGCTGTACACTCATGTACCGCTGTACACTCATGTTCCGCTGTACACTCACGTATGGAGCCATACGTTATTATTCACGACAGCCACCGTCCACTTACAGCAGCGGTTCTCAGAGTGTGGTCCCGGGAGCAGCACCAGCGGTCCGTGACGGTCCTCCAAATCAGGGTGTCGGCAACCAACATAACAAGTAGAACCTTTTTTTAATTGTTGTTGCGAATTCGGTAATATGAGACAAAGATCCAAACGCAATATTTCCGGAGCCGCAATGCACTGTGCGGTGAATGCGGCACGGTGCTCCTCCTCGATAAACGACGTCACGCAGCGGGCTTTAAAGAGCCGCCGCAGGTTGCAGACTCCTGTTCCACGTGGTTCGCGGGCTGATGCAAATGCAGGTTGATTCGGAAATGATGACGATTGGTTACTATTTTACACCTGTATCATATTTTATTTAAAAATGAAGCTCGGTAAATTACTCCCGATTAAACTAATCTAACATTAAGATCTTAATGCCAGCCCTAAAAAAAAATTGTATAGCTGCGTTAAACAAAAATATCGAGATGTTTCGATAATATGAATCATAACTTAAAGCTTCCGTGACTGCAGGAATTCATATTCTTTGGGTCTTTCGGTAAAGTCAGGTAGATAGAATTTTAAAAAAATCACGACGTTTCGATCGCAACACAACGTGGCTTTACCGAAAGACCCAAATAATATGAATAATATTAATCATGTTGTATTACAGTCCTGGCATTTTGAGATTCGCAAGTGCGTTTTTTCACGAGGGTTGGGCTTGGCTGGGTGGTCCGTGGAAATGTGTGCATCGACTGAGGGTAGCCCGCAGTGCAAAAGAGTTTAAGAATCGCCGATAATCACTGATCATTACACGCTCCACCAGCAGCGCCGTGCCCATGCGATTGCTATGCCAAACGGCACGGCCCTTTCGCTCAAGTGCCTAATCGAGACGCAAATCTACGACGATGGACTGCCTCTCCTAATTGGTCGACAGATGTGAGGTGCGGCACTGCAAAGGACTTCACGGTACAAAAGCCCGAACGTGTGCACGAGGCAATTGCACTGCGGCAGAAATGACCCCCCCCCCGCACCATCCCCCCCACCATCCCCCCCACCATCCCCCCACCATCCTCCCTCACCATCCACCCCCCATAGTTCCCCCCCCCCCACATCCCCCAACCACCATCAACCCACCCCACCATCCACCTCGCACCACCACCACCCCCACAGTCATCCCCCGCACCATCCACCCCCCACTATCCCCCCACCATACCCCCCACCACCGCGCCCCCCCGCACCATCCCCCCCGCCCCACAGTCATCCCCCGCACCATCCCTCCGACACCATCCCCCCCACCATCCCCCCCCACCATCCCCCCCCACCACCCCCCCCCCCGACCATCCCCCCCACCACCCCCCCCCCGACCATCCCCCCCACCACCCCCCCCCACCCCCCACTACCCCCCCCCACCATCCCCCAGTGTTTCTAGTGGTGGTTGTTGTAGAGAGACTCGCCTGTCCCTCTGGTGCTCAAGCAAAATTACAAAAATAAAACACTGACGAGGGATGATTTAGAGATCATTGGAGAGGGTTGGGAGATGGGAGGGGGAGATGGTGGGTGGAGTCGAGATGGTGGGTGGAGTCGAGGTGGTGGGTGGAGTCGAGATGGTGGGTGGAGTCGAGATGGTGGGTGGAGTCGAGATGGTGGGTAGAGTCGAGATGGTGGGTGGAGTCGAGATGGTGGGCGGAGTCGAGATGGTGGGTGGAGTCGAGATGGTGGGTGGAGTCGAGATGGTGGGTGGAGTCGAGATGGTGGGTGGAGTCGAGGTGGTGGGTGGAGTCGAGATGGTGGGTGGAGTCGAGGTGGTGGGTGGAGTCGAGATGGTGGGCGGAGTCGAGATGGGTGCAGTCGAGATGATGGGTGGAGTCGAGATAGTGGGTGGAGTCGAGATGGTGGGTAGAGTCGAGATGGTGGGTAGAGTCGAGATGGTGGGTGGAATCGAGGTGGTGGGTGGAGTCGAGATGGTGGGTAGAGTCGAGATGGTGGGTGGAGTCGAGGTGGTGGGTGGAGTCGAGATGGTCGGTGGAGTCGAGGTGGTGGGTGGAGTCGAGATAGTGGGTGGAGTCGAGATGGTGGGTGGAGTCGAGATGGTGGGTAGAGTCGAGATGGTGGGTAGAGTCGAGATGGTGGGTAGAGTCGAGATGGTGGGTAGAGTCGAGATGGTGGGTGGAGTCGAGGTGGTGGGTGGAGTCGAGATGGTGGGTGGAGTCGAGATAGTGGGTGGAGTCGAGATGGTGGGTGGAGTCGAGGTGGTGGGTGGAGTCGAGATGGTGGGTGGAGTCGAGATGGTGGGTACTCAAGTCTAACTGGGTGGGGGTGGTGGAGGGGGGGGGGGTAGTCCTGTGTGGGTTTTCTTTCTTTATTTTTTTTTAGTTTTCTTTATTTTGGTATAGCCCTGTGAGCCATTCGGCTCTTGAATCGGGTGCAATCACAACAAACAAAAACACCAACAAGAAAGTACTCGCCCCCTGAGCTCTTCTGAGACGTGATGACCAGCGTGGTGAAGTAGGCCAAAGTACACTCTTGAGGGGGCTTCCTCTCGTGGGGCTTCCTCCGGTGGAGGCCTTGCTGCTTCTGCCAGCAGTGGTGTGAGCAAGACATCGCAGGGCTGCACCTTTACCATTCACATTAAAAAAAACAACAACAACAACAGCCATACTTGGCCCACATTATTCACCGCTAACGGTTCCCACCGGGGTTGCAACAGCCCATGTGCATCCGCCTACACACGCCGTGCACACGGTGTGTATGTGTGTGCGTGCACACATTTCCATGCGTGTGCGCACTAACGCACGGTGGCTGGCCAGGTGAATCTGGGTGCCGGTTGAATCGGTCCATCATCCCTTCGGGGGGGGGGGTCGATAATCTGAATAGCATTTTGTGTCTGAAGTCAAGAGTAGATTTTTTTTTGGATAGTCTCGCGCCCGCCCTAGGAACGTGGAATTTCCTACCCACTGACTCAGGGCTGTAAAAAGGAGAGGGGCTCCAAGAACACAGTAGGTCGGATAACTTTGCATACTGAGTAATGGATGGGTGTGTGTTGATTTGCATATCGCAATCCTCATGCCAGTCATTCGCTAATGGATAAGCAGTGGTTACAGTGGGGACGGTATGCACCACTCCATTTAGAGAGAAAAAAATACACAGGTGGTATGGCCCGAGCCCAAAATTGAAGGTGTAATGCCACGATATCAGTGCACATCATTGCACAATGTTTAACATTTTTTAAGTGCCGAAGAATCCCCTTATGTGTTCTGTAACGTATTTTAAATACACTGGAATCCCATTATGTAGTGTATTATGCATATTAACTGCATTAGAATACTCTGTGTAGGATATAATGTACATGGGGTAAAATGCACTGGTATTCTATGATGTAGTGTATAATGTATACTAAATTCACATATAATTTTACGTGTTTTATATAATGTACTTGAAACGCTCTAGTCTATATGGTGACCTTGCATGCAGAAACGTGAATGTGAGAGAATAGAATTCCGTTGTGTTGTACAGTATTTGTTTTCCCCTTGCATGCCAACACCTTTTCAAAACCGCTTGAAACACGGTTGAGTGCACACAACAGCCAAAGTCTCTCCAACGTCTCAATGTAACGGAACCCTCCGACCAAAACTATTCCTGAACATGGCATTGCCAATCAAACCAGACCATCAGCTCACTTAATTTGATGACATCGCCCAATTGCCGCTGCCAAACTTCATGGCCCTCGTCCCAGCGGTGACGGATTGCTGCCCCGCGCCCTGAGGCCGGCCACCTGAAACGTGTGTGCACGTTGCGAGTGTCCTCATCCCACGCGAAAGATTCAGTAAGCCTCACGAGGCAATGGATAATAACCATAACAACATACAATCAACTGAAAAGCGTCTTGAGACAGGAGTCATCATTTACAACCCTTTGTTATTGCACTGCTGGATGAAGGCCTCCCCATGCCGTGGTGGTCATGGGGCGGGAGAGGGGCACGGTTTGACCATACTTCACCACACCGGTTAACATGGATTTGTGTTTTGGATTAGTGAAAGGGACCAAGGACTGATTGTCGTGCCTGACCACACCATTCGTGTTAGCTGTCGTTAACCAGATTCATGGTCCTAGCCAGTAGAAAAAAATATAAAATACACCATGACGAAGAAGAAGATGATGAGTGGACGTCTCCAAAAGCAATCGCGTTTGTCATTGTAGCATAACAACCGGCTCATTTCACACAGATGCATTACACATACCCACACACACACACGCGCGCGCGCACGTAGATCCGTGTAAATTCAAATGTATGTGCCACTTTACATGTAAACTATTTTGATATTACACATTAAGCAGGCCTTGACCGCTAAAACGCAGTGACTCTGTGCGTTGATGCGTGGAACGAATCGGGGGAACTTTACTTTCGGGCGAGTCGAATTCGTCAATACCGTGCTGGTGCGGCGATGATGAAGTCGGGTGGGCGGAAAGGGAAGGCGAGTGAGCTTGCACGACTTCTGTTTGGATGTCACTCGCCACCTGTATTTAAGTTCGAGCCCCCTTTAACCTGTATTTAAGCTCGAGGCTCTCAGAGCCTCCCCACTTTATGCAGCTATCTTGCTGTGACTGTCCCACCTGAAGACGGAAGCTTGTGTTGCCTCCGAAACGTCGTGAGAATTTTTAATTTTTTTTATTATTATTATTTTATTATTATTATATCCCCATTCTACGTGACTTTACCGAAAGAACCAAGAAGTTGTTGCTGTTTTCATTGTTTGTGTTTGTTGACGCGGGTAAAAAAATATTCAGACTGTGAAGCTGTTTTACAAGAACGACCCGCGAAGGACCTCGGTGAAAATAATAGAAAGAAAGAAAGAACAGTTCTCAGACTTGAGTAGCGAAACACAAACATGGGAGGGTCACTCGAGTGGTCCTGGCAGGTGACACGCATCAACACTGACGCACCGGGATCGCTCAACCACGTGCAAGAGAATGGAGATATTCAATGTACGTGTGTAAGTATGTATGTCTGAACTTCTTTCGCACTGCACGTAGCCAACCGTGCTACTGAAGGGGGAGGAGGATCTAAGGTGACGTGATGAGGACTGTCGTAAAATGTGTTCACGAAAGTGATGTGCTGATTTGTTTCGGAGTATTTTGTGGATGAATGAGTGTCAAGGTTCGCCGTGGCCAGGAATCGATAGCTGGGTTTATATCACTGTGTGCTAACCCCTGCACCACCACTCCACCCACCAAGCTTTTAATTAATAATAATCATGCTCTTAGTTGAATTCTAATGAATGTAGCAAGATTATATGAATTCATATTGTGTGTGTGCATGTGTGTGTGTGGTGTTCAAATGGGAGCGGTTGTGTAACGGTTAGCACGCTACACTATGAACCCGGCGACCCGAGTTTTATTCCCGCTCACGGCCAACACCAGTGACAATTATTTGAACTGGTCCTGGGCCTCCCCTAGGTCGACTCGGCCTCAAATGAGTACCTAATGCGGCGTGTAAACATCGCCACTCGGGAGACAAAGGCGTTCGGGCGTGGTGCTGGCCACCCACCCCCTCGTGTATCGTTCCAGCCTTCATAAGTGCTGCTCGCTAACGACACTTGCCCCAACAGTCTGTTCAAGCTATACGGGGGGGATTGTTGTCTTTGTGGTGTCCACAAGTGTATTTGTTGATGACCGTGAGGAATTCGTACGCGCGCGGAAGGCGTTACATCTCAGAAATCACGGTTTTGGCGGCACGTGGGGAAACCAACACTGGAGCTGATCACCGTGAAACCCTGTCACTCTCTCTCTCTCTCTCTAATTGTGATAAATCCAAAGTGCCGATGTGTTAACTTGACGGCGAGATCTTGCCGTTGCAACAGGCGGACACTTTGAGGGAAGCATTGGAAAGGACGCTGCAGTGCTACGCAGAGAGTCGCCGAGATTGGTGAGTCGCCTTGTTCAGTGGGTCACGCCAATGTCACGGCAAACCGGCACAGCGGGCCGAGGAGTGCGCGCGGGGAGCGGTGGGGGGTGGATGGGGGAAGATTGCCTATTCAATGCAGACAGTCTTGCCCCCTTGGCATCACGTGGGCTATTTGCCCCCCCCCCCCCTCCCACGGCAATGCTCCACGCACGCTGCCATCTCCCCTGTGCCTTTCCCCGCGCTGTGTCTCGGAGAAGATTCAAGTCATCGCTTGGCGTCATTCAATTCCCGAGCTGGCGACACGCCACGCGCATTCACCCTTGTCGTCTTTCTATTGTTATTTTATTATTATTATTTGAGGGGCACACTTTAGATTCCGCGCGGGATTTGTGGCCGCTTTTATGACAGCACACTGCTGTGACTCTTGATGGGCTGTACAAAATAAAATGTACAAATTCTAAACCTTAGCCCTGCACCCATTGCTCGGAATATTTGACCCGTTCCCAACCGGTGTAAACTTAACGTTTTTTTTGCGGACTACGGTGTTGTGATTAGAATTTTATCATTGGGCCCGAGGCCACACATTTCTGCTGTGACGTTTCATTTTTCAACAACCTCAAACACCATTGGGACAAGATGAAAGACGTCAGAATAACAATCCAGGAAAGCGTATGACAGCTCTGGCGAGATCATTATATGGTCCGACCCAACAAATCAATTATTCCTATTAAGTATTAAAGCATTTTTGTGGATTATGGCCTGCCCAGAGAGGAATGAACATTTATTTTCTCCCAATTTAGCATTGAGGCTGTGCTCATCTCCCATGTAAATTCCACATTCCTTTACCGGGGGTGAGTCCATCCATAGGACAATGACTGTGGACTTCCCCACAAAAGTGTTTTATTTTTTTTATCGATCCCAGGGGCAGGATGGGCTGAGTCAACACCTCCCAAAATCAGGAGACAAAAACTCGCAGATTTCCAATCGCGAGCCGCTCGCTCTGCCACCGAGCCACCCGGTGGAGTAAAACCAACTGCACGCGAGTGGATAGCTCAATTCGCACGGACAGTTTAATGACTCGCCTTGCTTGGAGTGGTTTTCTGGTGGTCTGCACAATGGTCTTGTGTTCCCCCTAACCCCACCTATTGTGTCATCCGATGACCGTTGATGCGAGTGTCCCTAACGATCCCCATTGTGCTTACGTTGTGGTGCGGCTTTCACGCGCCAATTGTGAAGCTCCGCAGGACGCAATAACTGCGCGGGCGCCGGAGACCGGCCCACGTGGCTTCACGGTGGATTTTCAGAACTCGAGGGCCAAGAGGGCCTCCTTCCGACTCTCCAGTCACTCGCCTCGTTTCTGAGTACGTATTAACGTGATTCGAATAGCCCTATCGTGTTTGAATCGTTTCAAAGCAAATCTGGAAGAAAGAACGAAGAGTTGGTTTCACGTGATTTTGTGAGTAAAATTATACCCTACAAAATGTGAAATATGTTCCATGTAGTGTCCTTGCAGACATTTATATCATAGCAGTGCACCTCATTGAATACGTTGCAGATGGATGAGTCTTGTTCTTTTTAATATTACTATTGGACTTTGTCTGAAATGTCAGCAAAGACACTTTTCGCAAACACGCACCACCAGCAGTGGATTCATCGTGGCTGATGATCATGACGACGATGATGATGATGACAATGCTGATGATGTTTATCGCAGGCGTGAGTTCCGAGGGCTTCCAGGAGAAGTTTGGTGAGGAGCTGTTTGGGATTTGCTTCGAGGAGAACGAGCGGATCCTGCGTGCGGTGGGCACCACGCTGCAGGACTTCCTCAACAGCCTCGACGCGCTGCTGGGCCAAGGCCACGTGAGGCCCGACGGCGGCTCCACGACCTCCGAGGGCCCCTCGCCGGCCTCCGACGCGACCCCCGTTCCCTACTTCTGCTGCACGGAGCTCGCTCCCCACGACCCCGGCGGAGGCGACGCCGCCGCCGCCGCCGCCGCCGCCGCCGCCGGGCCCTCGGACTCGGGCCTGCTGCTGCACTGCTTCCAGCCCAACGCCGTCGTGTCCGTGGCGCTGCCAGGGCTGCTGCGGGCGTCGAGCGCGCGCCTCTACGGCGCGGACGTCTCCGTGGAGCGGCTGGAGCGCGCCGAGTGCGAGCGGCGCCGCTGCTTCTGCCGCGACGGCGGCGCCGGCGGCTCCACGGGGGACGACCGCGTTGCGGCCTTCGCCATCCGGAGCGCCGACGGGCGCCCGACGCGGGGCCTGCGCTCGTGCCGTCCGGCCGTGTCGAGGTCGCCCGGCGACCTTCGCGTCGACCTGGCGACGTTCTGCAAGGTGTTCCCCTTCCACGTGATGCTCGACCGCGGGCTGCGTCTCCTGCAGACGGGCGACGGCGTGCGGAGGCTGCTGCGCGACGCCCAGCCCGGCGCGCTCTTCCACGACTGCTTCCGCGTGCTGTCCCCGCCGGCGATGCGCGGCTGCTCCTTCGCCGGGGTCCTCCGCCGCCTCAACACCCCCTTCGTGGTGCGCACGCGGGGCGACGGGGCCGACGCCAAGGTGAGGCTCGGAGGCTCGGACAGCGACGGCCGGATGGACGCGGTTGCCCCCGGCTCGGGGCGGGTGAGCGGGGACGCCAGTCGGAAGGAGGCGCACGCCCGGTGACGCGCGACGCTCGGGATGAGGCGATTCAGTGGCGGGCCGAGCTCTTGTTGAACGACTGATTGTGGCGGTGCTCGGCACTTCAAGTATAATTGGAAAAAAAACTTTAATTTTTCCGTATCGTACTGATAAACAGCAACTTACTTGAGCTTATTCCTGAAAGCAAGATATGGTCATCATCGTCGGGATATCTCTATGTTGTCCGTGGCAGCGCTAGACATAAGCAAACCCAGCGAAAGCGTCGGGCCCCTATCTCATCTGCATCTCTCTCCTTGCATCTAAATACTACATCTTTGCGCGTGTCTATATTTCTCCTATCTCACGACATCTATATCTCTTGTCTGGATCTCTTCTGTCGCCTTATTGTATATAAATAAAACAACCTCTCCCACCTTTGCTCAACGGGACAGCACTGCGGCAAACAACTGTCCGCAAAAGTGCAAAAGGTCGCACACAACGGTGACATCACTGGGGTGCACCTGGGAGTCGTGCAAGGTTCAAGACGTGCTGCATGCACTGAGCTTCGCACTCGTGTCAGATAGCCCGAGCCACCCAGCTGAGACGTCCTTCCACTACGAGTATTGGGAAAACTTGCCTTGAATACGAGTACCTGATGCGGTGTGTAAGCGTTAGCATTGGGGAGACCTAGACGGGCCCGGGTGTGGTGCTGGCCACCCACCCCTCCCTCCTCATGTGCCGTGCCGGCCTTAATAGGTGCTCGCTAACGGCACTCTCCCCAACGGACTGTTAAAGGCTACACGGGGGGGCGAGGCATCTTTGGTGTGTGCTCTATTAGGTCTGACCAACCAGTAAAAGGTTGTTGAGCTGAACGCACTGATTTCATAGTTTAAAAAAAAAGAAAGTGAATCTGGAAGGCTGTGGGGTGAATCCAGTTTCAAAATTAATCAGTCGCGCAAAAAAATGGGCCAGTGTACTCACCTGTTGTAACTTCTAAAACATGGGCAAATATCTTTTTTAATATTTCAATCTCAATGTCGTTTTGTGAATAATTATGGCCGATGCATCGCAGCTTCTTTAAAAAAATGATAATGTTTGTGACAATAATGAGATGTGTAAGGTATTTTAATAGCTTCCTTTACTGTATGCAAGCGGTTCTTTAGAATTCAGATTTTGTCTTTGTTGGGCAAAAAGAAGGTTCCGCTGATCGGCCTTGTTTTTATTATTGTAATCATATTTAATAATGAACTTCACTCTGGGCGCTCTCTGTCGGCAGTAATAATGAGCCAGGGAAAGCATTATTATCATTGCAAGGGTAATTAGAGAGAGAGAGTGACAGGGTTTCACGGTGATCAGCTCCAGTGTTGGTTTCCCCACGTGCCGCCCAAACCGTGATTTCTGAGATGTAACGCCTTTCGCGCGCGGACGAATTCCTCGCGGTCATCAACAAATACACTTGTGGACACCACAAAGACAAGAATAAACCCCGTATAGCGTGAACAGACTGTTGGGGCAAGTGTCGTTAGCGAGCAGCACTTATGAAGGCTGGAACGATACACGAGTGGGTGGGTGGCCAGCACCACGCCCGACCGCCTTTGTCTCCCGAGTGGCGATGTTTACACACCGCATTAGGTACTCATTTGAGGCCGAGTCGACCTAGGGGAGGCCCAGGACCAGTTCAAATAATTGCCACTGGTGTTGGCCGTGAGCGGGAACAGAACTCGGGTCGCCGGGTTCATAGCGTAGCGTGCTAACCGTTACACTACCGCTCCCCATTTGTGAACACCACACACACACATGCACACACACAATATGAATTCATATAATCTTGCTACATTCATTAGAATTCAACTAAGAGCATGATTATTAATTAAAAGCTTGGTGGGTGGAGTGGTGGTGCAGGGGTTAGCACACAGCGATATAAACCCAGCTATCGATTCCTGGCCACGGCGAACCTTGACACTCATTCATCCACAAAATACTCCGAAACAAATCAGCACATCACTTTCGTGAACAAATTTCACGACAGTCCTCATCACGTCACCTTAGATCCTCCTCCCCCTTCAGTAGCACGGTTGGCTACGTGCAGTGCGAAAGAAGTTCAAACATACATACTTACACACGTACATTTAATATCTCCATTCTCTTGCACGTGGTTGAGCAAACCCGGTGCGTCAGTGTTGATGCGTGTATATGTGGGTTATGAAAATAATGCAATTTAAATGAAATTTTGAATTCGCATAATTTATCCGAAGTTATGTTAAGATGTGTAATTATGCGTATGAATCATGCTAATTCAAAATTTCATTTAAATTACATTTCTTTCATCAAATTTTCATAATGTTGATGCGTGTCACCTGCCAGGACCACTCGAGTGACCCTCCCATGTTTGTGTTTCGCTGCTCAGGTGTGAGAACTGTTCTTTCTTTCTATTATTTTCACCGAGGTCCTTCGCGGGTCATTCTTGTAAAACAGCTTCACGGTCTGAATGTTTTCTTACCCGCGTCAACAAACACGAACAATAAAAAAAGCAACAACAACAAGTTGCGAGTGACATCCAAACAGAAGTCGTGCAAGCTCACTCGCCTTCCCTTTCCGCCCACCCGACTTGATCATCGCCGCACCAGCACGGTATTGACGAATTCGACTCGCCCGAAAGTAAAGTTCCCCCGATTCGTTCCACGCATCAACGCACAGAGTCACTGCGTTTTAGCGGTCAAGGCCCGCTTAATGTGTATTATCAAAATAGTTTACATGTAAAGTGGCACATACATTTGAAGTGACACTGCTCTACGCGCGCATGTGTGTGTGTGTGGGTTTGTGTAATGCATCTGTGTGAAAGGAGCCGGTTGTTATGCTGCGATGTAACACCTTTCGCGCGCGTACGAATTCCTCACGGTCATTCGCGAATACATGTCAATTATTCAAGCACTTTGCAGAACCATTTTCATTAACATGCTAGCTTAGCAAATACAAACGACACGCCGAGGTGCCGATTTAGTGGTGACGCATTCCACTTGCATTCAAATTTTCTTCGTACATTTGTGAACGTTTAAATCAAACTCGGCAATGTCAATTATAACAAAATAAATATGTCGCGATGAGAGACACGTATATATTGTTTTAGCCGTGCGTTTGTTTTGTAGAATTCAACACAGCTTGCACGAGTGCAAATTCAATTACCCGTTTGCGATATCAAAATCAGCTCGGTATTTACTTGCCATTTCTCTACCCATTAAAAAAAAAACCCACATAAAATCTCGGACGTGCCTCTGTTTGCCCATTGACCATTCCTAGATGGACGACGACAACGAGCCACTCGTCCACCTCTCGGTTCATGTCATCTCGTAGCTAAAGTATACAGGGGTGGGGGGGGGGCTTTGGCTTTCGATGTGAGGCAATCTGACACACGCAAAGGCTCCTCCTGCAAATGGACAGGACCCCCAGGTGTGTTTGGTTTTCATTTTATGGCCTTGAGACCGGTGGTCCCTCGGTACAGCACCAACATCCGCACCTGGAGAGAAAATGTTTGATTTGTTAGTCATGGCGTTGGGCTCCGGGAATCCGTGGTCATTGATCTGCTTGCTTAGCATCCCGATAGAGTTCAAGAGATCCCAGTTTCCTGGAGACGTCTGTCCTTTAGCCCCAAACGACTAATCCGGTGTTACGTGGTGTACATGACTAACGGGGCACTCTTATCTTGAACTCAACCTCCAGCCCGCATCCCACCACCACGCTGTGTGGGTCGTGGGGCAAATTTCTTAGACTACACTTCTCTGCTCATATTCTTGGTTCTTTCGGTAAAGTCACGTAAAGAGAAAACAAAAAATCTAAAACATTTGCTGTACTGCCATCTGCTGCCGACAAAATAGCCCCACAGCAGCCTATAGCACCTGTAAGTAGGACCATGGAGATCGGCCATCTAAGCGCTGTGCAGGCTGAAAATCCTGCTTAGCCTCTGAAAGCTGATGAGATCTGGTGCATTCTGGGTTATTAAGTCATAGACACAAAGCATGTACATAATAATAATAATAATGATTGCCTTTGCTAATCCATTGCTGGATGAATGCCTCACCATGCGGGTTGTTTGGCCATACTTCACCACGCTGGTCAGTGTGGGTTGGTAAAGGGGGAGGCCAAGACCAGTTCAGATATCAATCGCCACTGATGTTACTTGTGGACGGGAAACAAACTCACTTTGCTGAAATCTTAGCACAGTGTGCTAACCGTTGCTCCACCCCAGCGTGTAGTTCATGCCAAATATTCATATTTATGTCAATCGTCAAATTGTGGTTAAAATTTCAATGATTGATTGAGAAGTTCATTCAAATTTCCAATGAATGGATGGAGAGGATGGTATTTTGCACCATTTCAAATGCGTGGGGGTATTTAATAACGTTACGTAGATACGGGAATGCTGTCGTGGTTAAATGGTTTGCACGCTGGTTGCCGGTATGATCTCCCTGTGCTACAGCTGAAACAATGGGCCTGTTTTAGGTCCCCCAACTTATGTTCACCTGGCAGTGTAAATGGATACACCATAGTTAGTCCATAATAGAGGGGGGGGGGGGGTTTGGGGGGGGGGTTAAATCGTGTAAATGTAAACGTGTCGTTAAACCCGCCACCACCAAACACAGGCAATTGGTAAGGTTTGTCGCGTAAACAAAACGTGCCGATTAGTTACTACATCAGCACACCCGGTGTGTTGGAGAGTAAACCCACATCATTTACAATGTGAGTCCGACGTTTGTTTGGCTGTGGTTTACAACAACCAGCCTCATCAGGCGATTAGCCAGATTTGTGAACAAGTCTTCTCGTTTCGGTCTTGAATAGAGGACTCATCACCCTGAGTCTATCACAGTTTTCGTTGATGGGCAGCTCACATGCAGAACGGCAAAGTGTGTGGAATAGAAGGCCAAAAATAGCCCCTAGGGGGAGGATCTGTCTGGCTCCGTCCAGTGGAGTCCTTCCCATCAGCTGTGGCACGAGAAAACTATATGGCAGGGCTGCACCTTCCTTGTCAACCACAATGGGGTTCGGCTCGTTTGAAACGTGCAGCTGAATAATTTCCTCTCCGTCATTAACAAGCCCAATCCTCCATCTCCGCACCCAGGCCAAGCGTCGTTATTTTTTTTCATTGGGCTATATTGATGTGAGCGACAGCTGGAAATTGAATTGTGAGGAAATGTGCACGACCAATCGTGCCCTCTGGAGAATTTACACGTTTTTTTTAGGGGACAAACTGGTCCACGAATTCTTAGAATTATCAAATATACAATAATCACAAACACACACTATTGGTACTGTATAACCAAATCCTTTCATTACCTCTTAAGTGCTAGTTTGCCCAAAGGTGAATGCGTATTGGCAGGGATTATGCTATAATTGTGTAATTTTTTAATCCTTTTGTCAAGATGGCAGCAGATGTGCTCACCCGCGCTCTCGCTCTCTCTCTCCCCGGCTCTCCGACCCATTTTGCATGGCGTACAACACACGGGCAAAATCCACTGAACACGTCACCCGCTGTGTACATTGAAGGACCTTGACACAGGAGCGCTGCCTTTTAGCCATCTGTGAAGAGCACAGGGGTAGAACAAAGCACATGATTAGGGGGCATATGCCGGGCATTTAATGATTTCTAAGTTAAATCATTGACCAAACAGTGGTTGGTGGTGGTGGTGGGGGGGGAGGCAGCGCGTGCAACATCTGCGTTTACTTTCGCCGCTCCTGCTTCATTGGCTACGCCGTGATTGAATTTCTAGCCGAGAGCATTGGCCTCGCGCGCACCTCCGATTTGCGCGATTGGCTTACGTGCGGTGACGGAAGACAAGACGCACGCACGTTGTTCGAGCAGCTCGTGTCGGGCAGCGGACAACAGCTTCCCGAGCTTGGGGGGGGGGGGGGGTGGCGTTCGTGGAGAGGACATTCTCTGTTGAACCACCGCGGACTCGGGGAGGTAGGGGGGGGGGGGTCTCTGCTGTGATTGGAAAATCCGCACGAATCTTGACACGATGACGGCGTGGAGTTTCGTGAATTTGCTCACGACGTGTCGGCTAACTGCTGCGATGTCAACCGACGTCAACTCGACACACGGCCCTGAAAGAGATGCCACCTCCACCGCAAACAATATAACCGCGTAGGTCTGTCGGAGGTCTTCATTCAGCAGCGGATTGATCAAGGTTGGATGGTGATTGTTTAAAAGTAATTTGCTTGACCTTTAAAATGACATTGACTTCAGCACTCTTGGAAAAAATGGGCCAAAGGTTACAATCTTGATAGTGTGAGCTGTGGGGTAAATATTTTAGATCCATTAGATAGTTTTATCACTGTTTTTCCACGGTGAGGCCTAGAGACCTGCGGTCGTTTTTTTTCCACATTTCTCATCTTGTACTGCAATACTGTGTGCTTTTTTAAATCAAACCTTGGAAGGCATTGTGTAAATATTCGTCTCGATTTTACATGGATTTACCTATTGCAAGCACACCCACCCCCTCCCCCACCATCGGCATTACTATATTATTAACCATTTAATCTCCAACAAAAATCATTCTATGGATAGTACTTAAATTAAGATTCCATGGATTCCTGATTATTTCTGTGGATGAGGGCGCGGGGTTTTGTAAACAAGGCATCGAGACGTCTAACACCGATGCTTAACGCTCTGTGTAAAGTAAAATAAAAAAAAGGTGATCAAGGTGCAGCCCTCGAATTTCTTGCTGGCGTCACTGCTCGTGGAAGGGCATCCACTGGAGGGAGATGTAGAGAGCCCCACTAGCGGCGGCGTTCTTCATTACGTGCGGCTCCTGGCAATACACAACGAGTGAAAACAACCATCCCCCCCCCCCCAGCATCATCGTCGTGCTGCTGTCAAATCCGGCAATGGCTTCAAATGGCGTGACGGCCCTCATACTGATGATGTCTTATCGGCGAAAGTGCCCTCCTCCCTCCTGAAAGTTAGCGAAGAACACTGCTCTAGCGGGTATTTGACCTACTCTTCCATGCTGGCAAAACGTCTTGGAAGACGTCTTGTGACCTGGCAGTCGACTAACTGCGTTGCACCCGTTGATAGAGTTGAGTAGACGGAGGCTGCGGTTAAGGGTGAAATTACTCGCCCCCATTGTATCAACTAATCGAACCTGCGACCTCGGGATTGCAAGTCGAGTGTGCTGACCGTTACGCCACCGTGACTTTTGAAGCTTGATCAATAAAATATATATATAAGAAAACTAATCCAGTGCTTCGCGCGCTCTGGAAATGTCGTCAGTACTCTGACACTCCATTGAAGCGTGTGGAAGAGACATCACAGTGATGGGTGCCACCTTGATACGCTTGTCCGTTTCTTGAGTCCTTCCTGACGGCCTTCCCACCACTGCGGCCTCTGCCTTCATGCTCCCATTTCTCCACTCATTCCTGTCCTGGGCCACCATCTGCAACATCCACTCCCAGGGTCCTTCCTTCACGCGTCGGGGTTCCCCACTTCGAACTGCCTCTCTCGAGACGTGCAACCACGGTCCCCGCACCCTGGCGCTTCCACGTTCATCACCTCCCTCCTTCCCACGCGGTTTTCCCTCTCCTCATGCGACACGTCGGAGCCATCTGCGTCGACCTTATTTCAGATTGTCCGTTACTTAAGGCTCGACCTGGAGAGCCCGAGGATCCACGACCGAGACGATTAACATGGTTGGCTGCGCACGGTGTGAAAGAAGTGCAACGTACATACGTCCATAATTTATCGATACAATTATAGGGTTTTTTTGTATTTGACACCTTCCTTTAATCGCGAGTAAGACGGTAGTGGGATTATTATATAATTAGCATTATTAAATAACTTGTGGCTCAGAGGCAGAGCAAGCAGCCCGCAATGGAGGAGGTTGTGAGTTCAAACCCTGGGTGGGGACTTGACTCAGCCAGCCAAACATCAACCCCGACATAGGAATGTGGAATTTCCACCACTGGCTCAGGGGCTATAAACGGGACATGAGTCCAGCCTGAAAGGTCACGTGCACGTGAAATGACTGTGACTTGTCAGTTGTAATTATGAAGCTAATCGGGTGGTATAATCAGGATTACATTCCGTTATTTCTAAAACTTTGCATCATCGGCAATATTAAATTGTAAGAAAATCGCCGTCCCTCAGCCTGCCAACTGCTTCATGAGACACCAGCAGGCACACACTGTTTAAACCGGGCGAGTGCCCTTTGTGACAGTCACTTTTTCATGGCAGTCTTGGGTCACAAAATCAGCACCGTGTATATATACGTACATACACACACATCAAATAGCAACACATTCTGTTGAAATCCTGTGCAGTTTTAAACAATAAATACTGTGAATATTGTACTTCGTGCATTGAACCATAAACCTTTATAAAGTGTGAAATTTTAATTTGAATTCCAGTGAGATAATTTTAAATGAGGCATGGGGCACGGTTCACATCAGTGCCCAAACGGCGCATGCATTGCTCAATAAACAGTGACGGGGAAGCAATCGTTTTAAAACATAAATGAGATGCAGAGATGGCTCAGAAGACAGAGCCCTGGGCCAGCACCGCTGAGACCCTGGATTTAATTCCTGGGTTTAATTCCAGGCAGCTTTCTCTGGTTAAAAATTGAAACAGCTCGTCGCATTCGTCAGCAACACTGCCTTAAAATAATGCAATGCTAGGCCACGCTTCAGGCAACGGCTGTTCTTCATAGCAGAAAGATGGAGTGGATAATAAGAGCTTGTTGACTGCACTTTACACCATGGGCCCTGGTTAAACTGAATTTTCACGTTGTATTGAATCGATAGTCTGAGCCTGCACACACACACACACACACAAAACCGCCACTTAATTTTACTTAAAATTGGTTTGTCCATCAAATGACGGGCATTATTAACTCTCTGTAAACGAGCGGGTTGTAAAGTGCTGCCCCGCCTCGTGTGTGGGACGGAGGGCTCTTGAAGGGATATCAGAAGTAGTTCTGCGATATCGGCTCTTGTGGCCATTCTGTGTACGTACGTTGAACTTCTTTCGCACATCGTACGTAGCCAACCGTGCTAATCGGAGGTGCGGGGGAAGAGCAGACTCAACACGGCAAACGCAGTTGTAAAGAAGTGCATTGCTCCAGTGGCTTCCAAATATCAATAGATGATGCAAGAAAAATGCTTCCACACGCAGTTCTCCCCTCTTCCATTATTGTGACATCTTCTTCATCTCCTTCATCTTCTCCTTCCAATTACATCCGCCTGTTATTTTGCCTTTCAAGAGTTCACAACCCCACAGTCGTTGTTGAAGTTTGTTGATGGCTCCTAAAATTGCGCAGGCCTTATTGACGCACAACAACAACAGAAAACGCTCGCCGCCTCCCCCCCCTCTCCCCCCTCTGCTGCCAGGTGATGGAGCTCAAGGGGCAGATGGTGTTCGTGGCCGAGTCGGACGCACTGCTCTTCCTGGGCTCCCCGTGCGTCGACAAGCTGGAGGAGCTGGTGGGCCGAGGCCTGCACCTGTCCGACATCCCTGTGCACGACGCGACGCGCGACGTCGTGCTCGTCGGGAAGCAGGCGCAGGCCCAGGACGGCCTCCGCAAGCGTCTCGACAAGCTCAAGGCAAGCGGGGTGGGGATTGGGGGGGGGGTGGTGGAGAGAGAGGGGGGGGGGGACGCGGAGGAAGGCGATTGCCCATTGCGCACCGATTTGTGGATTCGCCGATTATAGTTGGCGGTTGCCGCTCGCGATGCGCGTGTTTCGCCGTGCGCGTGAGAATGCAAGTGGTGTGCTGATTGTACCCTGGTGTTAGATTTTTGGTTACAAGAGCGAGACAAAAACATCCGTTCAAACGAGCTGGGAAAATAAAATGATACGACTGAGACGTTAACTACCTCGCCTGGTATAAAGGAGGTCGTGGGTTCGATCCCGACCACAATGCCTGTATATTGGGAGTTTGCATGTGTGTCTCTCCCTGTGGTCGCGTGGACTTTTCTCCGGGTCCTCCGGTTTTTGCCTCAACATTTTTCGCTGCTATAAATTTCGACATTGTAAGCCACTTCGTTGAACTATCATTTGTGGCCAGGTCGCTCCAGAAAATGAGCTATATAGCTCAGTGGGCCTTACCTGGTAAAATTAAAACAAAAAATGTTTGGGGTTCAATGGTCATTATGGATATCACTGATACTGGTAGGAACCTCCTGGTGACACCAGCCCACAGGGGAATATTGTGCCCGTCCGTCGCGCATCCAAAAATGGGAGGGGTGGGGCTGGGTGGAGAGGGGAGGGTGGGGAGGGAGGGGCTGGGTGGGGAGGGGAGGGTGGGGAGGGGCTGGGTGGGGAGGGTGGGGAGGGGCTGGGTGGGGAGGGTGGGGAGGGTGGGGAGGCGCTGGGTGGGGAGGGTGGGGCTGGGTGGTGAGGGTGGGGCTGGGTGGGGGGTGGGAGGGGTGGGGCTGGGTGGGGAGGGGCTGGTCACCCCGTGGTGCCCTTATAAACCTCAACGTTTAACCTACTCACGCCGGCTTGTCCCCGCCCTCACAGTCAGGCATATTTGCGGAATACACCACCACGTGGTGCCGCCGTTGACCCTGGCCATTGACCGAGCAACCCAACGTCCCGATCAGCTCCCTCCGCAGGAATGTGTTACTAGCCTTGGCCGGGAATCAAACTCGGGGTCACTGAGCTTATAGTGCAATGCATTAACCACTGAACCATCACGCATCAAATTGACAATTTAATGGTTTGAAAAAAAAGAATCAAGCTAATACCGTTTAATAAGGCCACGATAATAAGCGTGACCTTTGTATCCATGGCTTAGATATTCGCAAAAAAACCGACATGCTTTATGTACAAAACAATCAACAGCTGGCGTCTCTGATCATAAACCACTGTTCTTGAACAACCATCGGGGTGGGGGTTATATTCATGGTAGCCCATTTTTAAAACTCATAGTCTTGTTATGTTAAATATCTTTTACCCTTTTGTGTGTACACCACCTCTGGCTGGTTGATTGTATGGCAGTTCTAGTTTCGTGGAGCCGTGAGGCTCCACGCTGCTGTGGTGCCGTCACCTGTCACGAGTGACGGTGGCTCACAGCAACGCTTGACGCTGTGCAAATGGATTTCTAGTTGTGAAGGATTTCCTTGACTTTGTCACCAAACTATTTAAAAACTATCTTTTATTTTACCAGGTAAGGCCCACTGAGCTATGTAGCTCTTTTTCAGAAGCGACCTGGCCATCACAAATGAAAGCTCACCAAAGTGGCTTATCGCGTGGAAATGTATAGCAGCCCTATACTCCAAACGCACGATGCTGATTCTAAATGTGGAGGGAAAAACCGGAGGACCCGAATAAAAATGCACGCGACCACGGGGAGAAATGCAAACTCCAAATATACAGCAGGCGTCAGCGTCGGGATCGAATCCACGACCTCCTGCACATCCAGGCGAGGTGGTTAACATCTTACACACCGTGGTCCCTTGCCAGAAGATTACGATGCCCTTACACCATCCCATTGAATGGATCTTATTATTTATTTATTTACTTTTAGCATTTGTAAAGCAACTGGTTAAACGAAAAAACTAAAATCATCGCGAGTTTGTCTTTGCTTATCTGAGGACGGTTGGCGTTGTTGGGTCGGCAATTTGGGTGACATGCTTTGTCTTGTTTAACACGGAACGGGGAAGACTGCACGAAGGTTGTCTCGTTCCCCATTGCTCGCATGGATAGAATAAATTAATAGATTAACATTGAACAACTGCAAAATAAACGGAAATAATTATGAACAAGTCTGCCGTGTTTACGCATTTCATGGGCAATGTACGAGGAGCGGCCACAATGAGATTGTAAAAAAAAAGTCCCAGCGACCTTGTTCTGTAGCCCGAGGAAATCCACACGCAAAATAAAATGCAACATTCTCACATTCGGTACCGTTTTCAAATACAGTTATAAAATAAACCACAAAGTTGGGGCTGTCATTTAACATTCCCCGACTAAAACTCCCGAACCAATTCTTCCGTTACATACCAGCGAATGTGGTATGGAATGGAGTAGATATCAGGCGGTGCGGTGTGAGCGGTGGTGGATAGCGCCGCATTCTCATGGCTACCGTATGGCAGGCCGGCCCAGTTAACAAACCGTGGAACTGGGCCGATGGCGGGTTTGCATGCCCAGCCACGCCTGCCAGAGTGAGCTGCAATCGGACCGCGGCGTGGCCCACTTCTACCTGGCTTAAGTAGCTCGGTTTATTCAGGGAGTTATCGAATAAATAACATTAAAACACAGTGGAAAATTCCAAAATGCGCACAAATTTACTTGGGGAAAGTGTAAACTTATTTAAGTGCACATCGAATATATATTTTTTGGAAGAAAAAAAAACAATTATGACCACGTCCCCCTAGCCATGGACGAGGGAAGGCAGAGGGAGGTGGCTAGGAGAACGATCTGGTCCCAGGAAAATACGCAATGAGATGGAACCCAATCCGTGCCAATCCGTTCCAGGACCCGATTCGTGCCAATCCGTTCCAGGACCAGCCCAAGCATGGCTGTGGGTCCAGTTTTAATTGCCGTGTAAACACAGCGCAGGGCTCCATTATAAGGCCACGTGTAATGAGGCTTTAATTTTCTGGCAGCACTTTAGTAAACATTTGGTTGATGGCTTTTAAGGCACCTGGCGGTGCGACGCTAAACAGAGGTTTGCCCTTTCCCCATTCTGCTTCCCTGGCCCCTGACGGAGCCCTTAATGCACGCGTGGGGACTGAATGCTGACTCCCGCAGCGCTCCCACGATTGTGTTTGCTTCTCTTTCCCACCTGACATGCCAAATTAAACGCAGCCCCGCAGCGCGTTGCCCCACTTTCATAATTAATTTCCGCTTCAGAAGCACGCGGGGGGTGCCCTGGTTGGCGAACACTCCCGTAGGTCACTGGTTATCTCACGCCCCCCCCCTCCCCGCTGCTTGTGTCCCCCACTCAATCCCCGCACCGGAGAGCCGGACCGTTCGTAGGATTGGCGGAGAGCTCGATGGGTCTCCTTTGAGAAGTGGTAGAAAATAACTCGGCTTAATGCGGATTTAAACAAAAAGTATTTGTACAAGCTGCGTAATGAAACCTTTTCTAAAAAGGAATTGTTTCTCTCTAATGGCTACATCTGGCATCATGCGGTGGCGATTATTTACGATAATCAACCGATCACCCAGTAAATATGGAAAGTTGGGCCAACGGTTTTAACCACGTGCCAATGTTGGCCCGACGTTGCATGTTTACTGGGTGTAACTCTCATCGGTTGAAATCGATAAGGCGGAGCTCATTTCATGAGTTGAAATATCTGTGGATGGAATACATTACATTGAATGTATTTCCTGATTATGACCAATATTGCATGTAAGTTGTCACATGTTAGCTTATTTTGACCTTTTCACAACATCCAAAGCGATTCTTTACGTAATTGCATTTACTTGATAAAAATGCAAAGGGCGTGTACATGATCACCCTTGATCGCAAGTAACATGGGCTTTGTTGAAAGGACATGTACACTTTCGTTTCACATCGTATCTCCTCTTCCGTACTTTGCTTTGCATTTGCCATTTTGGCGACGTAGGTCACGCTTGCATATGAAACTCATACTTTATCGCTTGTGTTTTTACCAGGTTAAAAAAGATGGCACGCACATCTGAAACCTCCAAACCATTTTTAATCACATAACCATGGGGTTTAATTTCAACTGGGTCCATCAAGTTCGGCAACCGGGAACATTTTCCGAATCCGGCACACCACACCCAGTATTTCTCTCACCACGGCTGTGGCCACTCGCCATGCGCCTGCCCCAGCCTACCAGCTACTCGTAAAACAACCCGTGAGAATTTAAGCCCTGAATAAACTATGTTGAAAATTCTAAACGCCCAGGAACCAGGCCAAAGGGCTGGCCTTATTGTGAGTCTTCATGCATGTTCTCCCTGCGGTCATGTGGATTTTTCCCCAGGTCCTCCGATTTTTCCCTCCACATTTAGAAACACGCGTCTTGAGTGTTTAGCTGCTATACATTTCCACGCGATAAGCCACTTCGCGTTGAGCCATCGTTTGCGATGGCCAGGTCACTCCTGGCAAGTAGCTACATACCCGGTGAAATAACAAACAAAAAAATAGTCCGATAAGTTTTTTTCGTTTAACGTCGACGTCCGCCGTGCGAACGCAGGAAACCCTGGAGCAGACGCGACGCGCGCTCGAGGAGGAAAAGAAGCGCACGGTGGATCTGCTCGACTCCATCTTCCCGGGCGACGTGGCGCGCTGCCTCTGGCAGGGCCTCGCCATGCCCGCGCGCAAGTTCGACGACGTCACGGTGCTCTTCTCTGACATCGTAGGCTTCACGGCCATCTGCGCGCAGTGCACGCCCCTGCAGGTCATCGGCATGCTCAACGCGCTCTACACCAGGTTCGACCACCAGTGCGGGTTGCTCGACATTTACAAGGTGAGGCGTGGGCAAAGCTGCCGCGGCTGTCGTGCTCGCGGTGACGGCGGCGAAACAAAGATGGCCACCGCATCGCGCGCGTTCAGATGCGCGGCTTCTGCGGCCGTCTGGAAGGCTCTTCCCTTCCGATATTAGGAAGCCACTGGGAGCTGTGCACTTTTAAATAATAATCTCGATTGAAAACTCATTTCTTTACAACTGCTTTTTGTGTTTAGGTTGCTGTCCTTCCCCCGCACCTCCTATTAGCACGGTTGGCTATGTTCGGTGCGAAAGAGGTTCAACATGCGTACATATGAAGCACAATCGTGTAGGGTTGTGATAGACCATAGAGAGGTGATGAAATTACTCAAGCGCCAGTGTCACTGCGTGCATTGCCGCAATTTACTTGCCAAAATTAAAACAGTTTTGTTTGTTTCAAGGATGGTTTAGCCCCACAGCTCGCGTATCACAATAAGAAAAAGGAGAACTGCTAAATCAGAGGTGAATACCGACGGAGCGTTTGGCATCGGGTGTGTGTGTGGTGATGAACATTAAAGGGAAGGAATTGAATGTACAAAAGGGAGGCCTCCATCATTGTAAGAGCCCCAGGCCCCCATCAAATCAAAAATCCGGTCCTGGATGTGCCACATGAAACCGTTTTAGAAACTTTGCTGGCATAGGTTACTCCGTAAAGTGTATTCTTTACGGAGTAACTATCATAGCTTTCAAAATCGCAAATTGCTCCATCATGAATCGTCACCGGCTCCTCTTCGAGAAGCCATTTAAACGAAAGAGCCAGTTAAGAAAGTAAATTTTGCTGACACGAATGTTACATCCATCCGCGCAAGTATTTAACGTGTACAATTGCCAGAGAATAAGGGAACGTGAGCGTTGCGATGATTAAACCACAGCCACAGGTTTCAAGAGAAAGCCAGCTGCGCTTCATTAAATATGGCTTCTACCCATGGCGATGCGCTGTTCAACATAGGCCCCTTTCTGAACGCCTGCAACAAGGCTCGGCAACGCAGGCGCATGCAACACGTTGAACTGTGCAACACACCGAGCCCGCTGTGCCAAAGTAGGCAGAAAACAGCTGTCGTGTCGGAGAATTGCAACGATAAAATAGCCACAGGCACTGTGATTCATTCAACCATATCCCCTGTTGTGTGACCTCCAACATTAATTCCAGAGTTTATCATTATTATTGTTAACCATGATCATCAGCCATCGCCAATCCACTGCTGGATGAAAGCCTTCCCAAACCTTCACCATATCGCGTGATCGTGCCATTGAACGATCCACCTAGCAACCTGAACACGAGCGTTACAAGACTAAAATAGAAACAGGCAAACGTGCAGCCTTGCCATTGCTTTCTCGTGTCACCGCTTGCAGAACAGCATACCCTAGAGATAGCACAAAACAGCCACGGGCCTACTCTTCCACACTTGTCAGGCATCTTGGAAGAGGTGGGAGTATGCACACTTTCTCATTTGTACTGTTGACTAGCCATTGTTTTAACTGCGACGCTGCACAAACTCAGCATGGTGAAGTATGGTAAACCAACCCCTATGACTGACACGGCATGGGGGTGGAGGGGGGGACCTTCGTGCATTATTTTAATGATAAAGGGCCGAAAGTTCGTTATTATACACTCTTATCTTGCACGATCTCATAAAGTGAAATTTCACTGCGAACCCACAGCTCTAAATTGGCCTTCGTGAGCACCCTCCCAGCTTGCTTGCCGATGATGTTTGCGTGCTTTTCTTTTTTGAAGCTCCATTTCCAGATGGCTGAAACTCATTAAATGAATGCGCGGGACACAAAGGTCTCCTGTCTTTTTTGTAGTCTTGCAAGCTTCCATGGATCACGTGCACGTATCTTAGTTAAGGCCAGCACTCCAGAATTACTTTCAAGCTCGGGCTATGGTGTCACGAGATTATTATTATTATTATTTTCACAATGCGAAGTCACCTTTCGCGCACCCCTTGCAACCTTCGGTCCACGCGTGCGTGTATTTATAGATGAATGGATACGGTGGATACGATTCTCTTTTTTGTTCGCCACCCCCTCCTCCCCCGTACGGCATGCGTTGTCTTTCATTCTCAGGTGGATCGATGGCATACCGCGAGCCAGCGGACACTGGCTAATGGACCCAATGGCTGTCCCATCAGCGCTAAATAATTAGCAATTAGCGGGAGCAATACGCACGCCGCTTTGTGATGTCGCAGCAATGAATAGGCCGCGGCGACGCATTCCGGCCTCCATCATCAACCGCGCGTTGCGACTCTCTGCCCGCGTAGGCCAGCACTATAACGCGGCTCTGACACAAATTCTTGTGCTTCTACATATTTTTTTAATCACTGAATAGTACGCGTAATTGCGTGTTCTACGAGCGTTAAAGGAACGTATACGTAACGTGAATAAAATGCTAAGGAATTGTACGGTTTTTGTTTTAAGATGCATCTCAAGGTGGCTGTTGTCCGTGGTTGTCACCGGACAGTGTGAAGCCAGCCCATCATGTCTTCAGGGTTGTTAAATACACTCAATTGCAATGCTTGGTAGAAGGTCAACACTAATCTTTTCCACATGAATGTGGAATTTCCACTCAAATTAGGCCGTAATATTCTAACACTGGGGGGTGCATGGGCTCTATCTTAGAAATGGCAAACATGTTTGTTTTGTATTGGTTAGACCAACGGATTGTGAAGTATTGTACAATAATAAAATTATTCCTGGCCCAATTACCAGGCTCGAGCCCTGCTTAGCTTCCAAGGTCACACAATATTGAGCACTCAAAGGATGACATCATCGACTGTGAACCTAGCGATCTAAATTCAATTCCTGGCCACGGCTAATAGGAGTGGCGAGTGATATCTGAACCAGTCCTGCCCCCCCACCTGCCCCCCCCCTCTCACCTTTCACCAGCCCCCACTAACAAAGTGTGACGAAGTATGGTCAAACAACAAATAAGACCAAAACGGCATGGGCCCTCATCCAGTAGTTTAATTAACAAAGCTTTGGCTGCTCACGCGGCGGTGTTTTAATTAAAAGTACGACAAGTGGACGGTGGTAACCCGTGACGTGTGTCCGCTGGCCACGTGCTGCTACGGTAATAGCCCTCGTGCGCAGCGGCTCCCGCTGAAATTAACTCGCGCCACCGCTGCGTTTGGTTGTGATTGGCCCTCACCCGCCACGGGGCTTGTGACAATGACGTCACAGGAGGGGGGCGGTCACGTGCAAGAAAATGGCAACAACGGCGAGCTCGTTTGCCCGCGACTGCCACGCGACTAGACCTCCTCCTCCCCCTTCCATGGAAAACTAAAAAAACACCCGGTGTTCGGAAGAAACAAAACCACACTCCACATGCTACTCTGCGAATGGCCTCCCGAGCCTGCTGCTAATGCTGCCCTGGTTTCGAAGGGGGGGGGGGGGGATGCCACTTAAGAGGGGAGGGATGTGAGACTGAGCTGGCTGTGAGAGGTGCGACTCCGGAACACCTGAGGGACTTCGCGCTGTGCAGTAATTACGCGGCGTGGACACGTCTAAAGAGCTATGCGCTCCGGGGGGGATTTGAGTAACCCGTTATCACGATCGTGCGTACACCATTGTGGCCAAGCAATGAGAATTCTAATGCTGTAACCGTGTACGGGTGACAGCCATTTTCCCAGTTCACTGCTGGATGAGTGCCTCCCCAAAGCAATGTTGGTCATGTGGGTTATTTGGCCATACTTCACCAAGATGATCAGTGCATGTTTGGTGAATTAAAGGTCCAAGACTGGTCCTGATATCACTCGCCACCACTGATGTTAGCCGTGGCTAGGAATTGAACTCGGCTTGCCGGGTGTATAGCGGATCGCGCTATAGACTACGCCACAGCTCCACCCCAGCACTCTAATATAGGCCTTTGTAGTATCAGTAAGAGCTCATGCACACAACATTGACTAAACCGGCAGGAAATGCAAGATAAATTGTCCATGCCCAGGGGACGCCGCACTGACTCCAGAGGCATGCCCGTTACGCACATTCCTGATATATTTTTAACATTTTCAATATCTATATATGCATCTAACACACGCAGATATGGTTTGGAATTTTCAGTAAAGCCTATTTTTGTTTGCTGGCAACTCGAGCATCCTGGCTGCTTGGTATTCACAGGCCACTTCCTACTCAGACACAATAGCCGAGATGCACCTGCTCAGCCTCGGAGTTCAGTATTCTGCACCATATGTCTTAATTTAGTGCCTCAAGCTTCAACGCCCAATGGCGTGCGGAGAAAATCAATGCGATAGCTCTCTGTGTTTTGGCGTTGAACCGCACGTCACTCGGCATGGTGTCCGACGTTTCGCTCCATGTGATATGAGCTTCTTTAGGAACACTGGAGAGCTATACAGTACAACCAGAACCGCAGATACCCGATGCATCCCCCCCCCCCCGTGTCATATCAGTGGGGGTGATCCATTCCCGTGGCAGGCTCGATACGTCGGCACGCATCTGCACACGGACTTTGCGTATCACCATTAATTATAGAGCAAGTAAATTTGTACAGCTGCGATATGTGAAACTGTCTTGTTTTTTTTATCGTTCCTCTTGAATAACAATAAGTTGCGCGGTTGCACTAAAACCCAGGGCTTGAGATTTTACAGAGATGGAATTAATTGCTTTGAGCCGTAGGTCACCATACAAGGTCCATTCCAGTGGCATTTCACTTCAGATGCTTGCAGCAGTCTTACAGGAGGCTGGTACCCCGAGCATTATGCAGCTGGTGAAAGCTATTGAGGAGTTATTTAAAGTACTTCAAAATGCCTGGCAAATAAAGCGCTGTTTTCTTATTTGCAAACTCATGTTAAGAGTGCAAGTATGCATTCGCACAGTTAGTGCGGCCCCTCTCTCGATATCACGTTTCTCTTTCAGATCAGGTGTTTTGTAATGGAACGAGGGTAAGGGTTTGCATTCCTTTATTAAGCAACCATTTTTCGGTGTATTTTTAGCTTCTATTTCTGGAATTCAGTTTCATGCAAAGACAAAGCCGCACATTCTTAATGAAATTTTCACGGCTAATTTCCAGCGTCTGCATCTATCACGTGCAAACAAGCATTGCCGTGTGCGTAATGTCCTTATTAATGTTGCCAACCTTGTATTTGTTCTCCATGCTGAAATTCTTCTCATAAATATGTTTTTTTTATATAAATAAATGTAGCATAATTACCCACGGCTCCGAGAGCTGCCTGACAAATCAGCGCAGGCTGCGCAGAGTGCCAAAAGAACACGCTGGCACGTATCTTGCCAAACTCCAGCTCGCGGAATTAATATGACTCAACTCATATTCTTGGTTCTTTCGGTAAAGTCACGTAGAAGGGAAACAATAAGATAATAAAAATATTAATAAATTTTTATTGTTTCTCTTCTACGTGACTTTACCAAAAGAACCAAGAATATGAGTTGAGTCATATTAATAAGATAAAAAAAAATATTAATACATTTTTATTGTTTCTCTTCTACGTGACTTTACAATAAAATAATAAAAATATAAAACAATTTTATTGTTTCTCATTGGTTTTTTCGGTAAAGTCACGTTTGTAGAAATACAATAAAATTACATTAAAACAAAAAACAATCACGACGTTTCGATCACAACGCAAGCGATCTTCATCAGGTGTCAAGAACAAATCACTGAGGTAAATACAACAAAAAGATGAGAGACGAGAATTCAACAAACCTGAAAAAACATTATGTGAAGCACATCCAGTCAGGCCAACAACACAGTTAGACACTTCCTGGCGGACCACGAATTTCATAAGTGTTAAATTTCGTGTTCAACCTTTGGATTGCACATACCAGCATAGATAGAATGAAAAATACGAGATACACGGTCAGTAGAAATATTATTCTATTGTATTTCTACATACGTGACTTTACCGAAAAAAACAATGAGTAATTTTATGCAGTCACGAAAGCTTTAATACTTTATTAATTGTATTGTTTCCCTTCTACGTGACTTTACCGAAAGAACCAAGAATATGAATCCCTGCAGTCACGAAAGCTTTAAATCAAAATGTATGACTCAACTCGTATAGCTATGCTCCAGCTAAGAGGTTACGCCGAGCTTTTGTCGAAACAAAGCAAATAATGAACTGCAGAACATGTAGATTTAGTTGTTAGCAGTCTTTTATTCCAGGCAAGAGCCCGTTGAGACTGCACATCTCTTTTGCGAGGTACACCGAGATCTTGAAAATGTAACACATTAAACGTGTTAATTAAAGGGTTAAAAACATGAGGCATATGCTATGGAACAAAAGCAATTATGTTCATAATGTGAAAACAATCCAATTGTACAGTAAACATTTATTGGGAAGTAAGTGTGTTAACGTATATTCAAAGCTGCTGGGTAGTCAATAAAAAAAATATATAAGTTGTGGATAATTACTTAAGGCCCCTTTAAAAATGTCACCTGCCTCCCTGCAAGCCACGTGCAGCGTGACATGGCTGATGATGCCAATGATGTCACCAAACCCCACCCATTACATCCCAACCAGCGGCACACATGGGAAACAGAGCAAGCGCACCGATGGCCGTTGAGTTATCGATTATTTGAAGAATCTTATAGTCACACTCTACCGCAGAGCGCCTGTGAACAAAAACCCGTACGGCGTTTACGCATGTTAAGTTTCAACGACGTTGCAATGTGGCTCCACAATGCGATGCTGTCGCCCAAGTCTGTGACGCGTAGAATTGTGCCAAACAATCATTGGCCCGTGGGAGAAACACTCGGCTTTCATGGGAGGCCAAGTTGAGGATTTGGTGACGTCGCCAATATATCTGCGGCGCAACTACTGCTCTCGCTGGGAGATTTTCCACGGTGTTGCGCGGGCACGCTATTTTTGGCCGCGAGTCGATGATCGCTTGCACAAGCACGCGGCGGTGACTGCTCGTGCCCACGCACGTCAGGCCCAGTCGAGTAATTGACGGGACACGCCGCTGCCGATCGCCGTGGCGTTGTCGGGAGGCCTGACCGTGCTTGAACAGATGCCTGCCGGACACGCACGCGCGCACTCACAGGGGGGGGGGTTAACGTACACGCCTGGAACGCAGGAGGTTCGTGGGTTCAATCCCGACCCTGACGCCTGCTGCTGTATTTGGAGTTTGCGTGTCTCTCTCCCCGTGGTCGCGTGGATTTTTCTCCGGGTTCCTCAGGTTTTTCCCTCCACGTTTAGAACGGTGCATTTCGAGTATTTAGCTGCTATACATTTCCACGTGATAAGCCACTTCGTAGCGCGATTATTTGTGGCCAGGTCGTTTTTGAAAAACAATATAGCTCAGTGGGCCTTACCTCGTAAAATTGTAATAATTTTAGTTTAGTTTGATGATGACGACGGTGATAATACTGACGGTGTTCTATAAATGAACTGAACGTGAGATGTTCACAGCAAATATTACTGACCGATAAATGTATTATATTATTATTCTGAGATACTTATTTTGCTAAATAATTAATATTTCATAGTTTTACTTTGCAGCCAAATTGGGTTCGGGTGATTGCATCATGCATGGTGTGAGAACACCTTCGCAAAGTGAAAGGTTAATGGAGGTGCCGCAGCCCTGTGGGACATTCTTGAGTCGCAATGTTTGATACCATTGCCTTGTTAATCCACCACACAACCGTGGGCAATGTTTAGCTCTTATTTGCTGACGTGGATCTTAGATATTAGTGACTGTTCGTGTCAGGAAACTTTGCAGCATGTTGATGGGATGGTGAAACAATCCCCCCACGACCAACTTGGTACCGGAAGAGAGACATTCGTCCAGCAGTGGATGGACAAAGGTCTGTAAACGGTGATTATCATTGCAAATTACCAGCCGGCGTGCAGATGATGGAGTAGTGCTGTTTGCTGGATGGCATGAATGCCTGGCCATGGTTGCAATTGCAGTCTCGCACCGTGTGCAGTGCCCTGCCCCTGTCCGCCAGGCCCAACAAAATCTAAATGACTCTTTTTATACCTACGTGACTTTACCGAAAGAACCAAAGAGATTCGTGCAGTCACAAAAGCTTCAAATTTAGATTGAAATCTAAATTAGTTTTACCCCCTCTGGGTGTAATGTTGTCGGGTTTCCCCACCTACAAGGTACATAAATCTGGCACATATCATGGGAAGGATAATATCTCAATGCTAGAAGAGGGGAGAGCTCACATGTAAAATAAAACCCATAGCTATATCTGAGTGGCACGCACGGACACATAGGGTCTTCTTGAATGAGGTATTGTTACAAAACAGACTTTCATGTCCCAGCAGCTATGTCAATACGCGGACGATCATGGGAAAACCACAAGTGGAAGCTATGCATAACAATCTTATTTATTCACGATGTACTTACAAAAAAATCCGCAGACTACCTGCTGGATCTCCTCTCTGTTTGAAAGAACAAATTTGACCTAAGGTCTTCGCTCATTTACCAACTTCACATACCTTATTGCCGTACAAATACTGGAGGAAGGGCCTTTGCTATTGATGCCCCTAGGGTCTGGAATGCTATTGCCAATAAACTGCAACATGAGATCTTCACTCAAAACTTCTCTAGTGGAGTTGTACACCCCTAGCTGCCACTGCTATTCAGTGGCCTAAAATAAAATGTTTCGCTCCGGATAACCGCTGCGAAGTATTATCTTGTGTTTTGATTTAGTGTGCAAATCTTTAAAGGTGCATTGAAAAATGTTGATACTCCAACTGATGCTCCTACTGTTGTGGAGTGACTCATGAAGCCAGCTATGGCTGCAGGGTTTGGTGGTACATGTTGTTTATGTCGTTTATTGTGAAATTTCGGTCACAGTTCTTATAACCACTGTTACATGATTTTATGGCTTTATTTTGGTGATTTCGAAAAGTTTTTTTGGTTTGGCCATGTTTTTTTGTTGTAGTACGGAGTTAGAATGATGGCTTTAATCTAAGTTGGCTTGTGGTTCTTGTTGTTTGACTTGCATCCCACTGGGATTTTTGCACAGAGCGTTGGTGTACGGTGCTTTTTATGGAAGATTATTGCTGTTTTTTCCTGGATTTTTCTGTTTGCGCATAGTCACTTTAAGATGTTTTCTTGTTCATGTTTTTGTTTGTTGCGGTTGCACCCGATTCAAAAGCCGAATGGTTCACAGGGCTATACCAAATAAATGAAATGAAAATGAAATGAAAAACAATGCCTTGATTGATAAATATTGGTGCTTAAGCTCACAATTTACATGATCAGCCCCTCTTGTCAATCTATTGATGAATGAGGATCTCTCTGCCACGCTTCACCACACTGGTCAGTGCGGATTCGTGAAGGAGGGGAGCATAGATGTGGGAGCATAGTCCAGTACAACAGTGGATCTTGCTGTGCTGTCCTTTTGCAGCCCCACCACGTGGCCAAATTGTGCTACTTACAATAATAAATTGAGAAGGGGGACCGTACTACCACAACCCGGACAGGGTGGCAACCCGAGCAGTAACGCGTCCGCGCGCGCGTCCTAATGAACGAACGAGTGGTTACCGGTGCGGTGCGAGCGTGCAGGTGGAGACGATCGGAGATGCGTACTGCGTGGCGGGCGGCCTGCACAAGCCGAGCGCGGAGCACGCCCAGCGGGTGGCCTGGATGGCCCTGCGCATGATCGACCTGGCGCAGAAGGTGCTCACGCCCGACGGAGAGCCCATCAAGGTGGGATTTTTTCCAGCTCTGCCTGGCGTCCCACCAGCCACACTTCCACCATGCCCACCAGAGACAAAGACCCCCCCCCCCGCCACCCATATAGCCTTAACAGACTGTCGGGGCAAGTGCTGTTAGAGAGTCGCACCTATGAAGGCCGGCACGGCACACGAGGGGGTGGGCGGCCAGCACCGCACGCGGCCGCCTTTGTCTCCCCCATTAGTGATGTTTACACACCACACCAGGTACTCATTTGCGGCTGAGGCGACCTAGGGGAGGCCCAGGACCGGTTTAGATAATCGTCGCTGGGGTTAGCCGTGAGCGGGAATCAAACCCAGGTCCGCCGGGTTTGTAGCGCAGCGCGCTAACCGCTACGCCACCACGCCCAAAGACCCCCCCCCCTCTCTCCCAGCTTTCCCTCGTCCCTGTAGCTTACACAGGCTGTTGGGGCAATCGCTGTTAGCGAGCAACAACCACCACCTCTCCCTTGCGATGCGATGTACAGCTGTGAAGGTCACGAAATCCGGGCACTGTAGCAAATCAAGCTGATCTCAGAGGCCACGTGAACTGCAGGTTGAAGCAGCCCTGCTGGGGCATGAGAGAGCTATTAACTCTTTTGAGTGCTGGTGATGCGACAACCGGGGTTTAATTCCACCTGGGCCTGGTCTGGGTTGATGACCCCTGGGAAAAT